CCTGACTCGGGCCACCTCTATGCATCCATCAGGGCAGGCAGGACGCTGGCACCTGCAGGGGACCTGCAGGAGACCTTCGGGGGGATGGACCAGGTGAGATTGCTCAGGCTGGCTGGCTCTCCAGGGCTCTTAACAGATTGGCCACCATGAACTGGCCAGGTTTCGCAGGTAGGGGGGTGGAAAATGTTCTCTCTCACCTTATTTTCTCAAGTCCACAGCTCCCTGCCCTCGAGCTGGGCAAGTGCGAATCCCACACGTGCACAGAACCACACACACATCCCCATGTCCCTGTGTCTGGACGTCTGGTCAGGCTTTCCCTGTGGGCTCTCTGACTCAGGTGCTGCTGATGAAGAGAATTGCGGAGATGACTGACCTGCAGCCCGTCCTGGGGAAGCTCTTGCGTATCTGGAAACACCTGCTGAGCTGTGACAGCCTGAGGTAGGGCTGCACTGGCCTCCAAGCTGCACTTACCTCCTTGTTGCTGAGTGTGGTGTGAAGAGGCTTTTCAGAGGGAGCGCTTAGGGGCGGCCATAGCTTGCATCCTAGAGCCGAGGTCTTCTCAGTGTTTGTCAGACGCTTTTTTATGATAGTGTCTGATTCAGTGGAGGTTGGAGGAACCACAGAGAAATGTTTTCTGAGAGGGTGGAGAACTACCACCACCCTCTGACTACTTAACAGTGCTACTTGAATGAAGGTTTATCCTCCTCTGGACAGTGTGTGTTCTGAGACCATGGCCCTGAAGGCACTATGGGCGGGTCTGTTCTCTGCACCTCCTGTCCTCAGGGACACAGAGCTCTGAGCCGGCGGAGAGCAGGGTCAGGCTTTTCCATACCTGGAAAGCATGCGGTGAAAGAAGACGGCTGTGATGTTTGGCTTTTGGTTTATTCAGCTTTTGTTTGTACATTTACATGTATATGTTTTTACAGTTTGGTAATCTTTTCACAGTAATGGTTCTGTGCACACGCTGTTTTAAACAGATGTTCTGTGAACGCGACTGCCCAGCAGATGTCGCAGGCGGCGGGCGTGGTGGAGGCCTTCCTGAGGAGCCTCAGCCGGAGTGAGAAGCAGCAGAGGCCCGTGTGCCCGCACGTGGTGGAGGTGAGGCTGGGGGCCCGCCCTGCGGCCCAAGACAAGGGGACTTCTGCTCCCCAAGCTTCACGATGGAAGAATACTTGAGCTGCAGAGCCTATCCTGCCTGGACCCTAAGCATCCAGGCTGTTTCCGGATTGTACCTGACCTGCTCACATGCGTTTTGGGGTTTACTCATTTCTCTGGGAAATGTTTCACTTCCAGAAACCTGCACCCAAGGCATCCAGCGGGAGCTGCCCAGTCATAAGGAGGCTGGTGACGGTGAGTCCCTTCCTCTCGCACCCTGCCCACTTTGCCGCATGGACAGCCTGTCTGAGACCACCAGGTGCTGTCTGTGTGGATGCCTCGTGTTCAGTCCACCTCTGTTCAAACATCACTGTTATATCAGGATCACGTCACCTCCCAACCCACCCCCCACCCCCTCACTGATTACCCCAGGAAAGGCAAAGGCGTTTATCCTGGGAAAGTGACCAGATGTGGCCACATGCTCAGGGCCCTGGAAGGGAGTGGAGTGAGGTGACCCAGGGGGTCTGGGTGGGCTGGGATGTGTCACCTCCACCCTGCAGAGGTTGTGTGGGACAAGGTTGCCAGTGCTGTTAGGTGTGGATGGGGTTGCTGCTGCTGCCCAAGGCATCATGGTCAGGGCTCTGGGTCCTCGAGGGTCCTGGCCACACGGTACTGACACAGCCTGGCCTTTGCCCCAGGACCCCACCTTCGAGCCCTGCCAGATGAAGACGCACTTCCTGCTCCCGTTCCCCGTGAACTACGTTGCCGAGTGCATCAGGACCGCCCCGTATGCAGCCCGGGACCACGCCAGGTGCGTGGGGCTGGGCCCTCAGGAGCAGGACTGTGTGTGGCTCTGTTGAGTAGCAAGATGTGGGTTTAGAAACAGATAAGGACCAGTTTCCCTGGGTGTGGGGACTTAACTTCCCATACATCACAGAAATAGAAGTTCCTGAAAAAAGATTTGTGGGTGGGTGGATTCCTTAGCCCCCCTCCCTACCCCCTGTCCCTGCCAGGGAGCAGAGCTGTCTGTGGGCCCCCACCTCTCCCAGGAGCTCAGGCTAACCTTCCACACGTGCCCCCTGCCATAGAGAAGACCCAGGGCAGGGCGGCACGCTGTCATTGCTCACGGTGGACGTCGTGGGGACGCGGGGGCCTGGCAGACTTTCCCTGTTGGAGCATGTTTTCTAAGGGAGGGTCGCGCTCATGGTGGAGGCCACGCACCTAAGACACCTGAGTACTGAGGCAGGGCAGGAGGGAGTAGGCCCGCCCCGTCCTTCCCGTCACCCAGGCCTCACCTTGCTCACATTTTTCTTGCCCTCGTGGATCATGCTGTTATGTTCATTCCTGCCCTGCCAGCTGTGCTGTTGTTAATGTGCATCTTTTTATCTTTTCAGCCTCAAGATCCTGGCACGGTTGATGACTGCTAAATTCTTACACACGGAAATTCGAGAAAAAGGTGGAGCTTATGGCGGAGGTGCCCGGCTCAGCTATGGCGGGATGCTCACGCTGTACTCGTACAGGTGAATCTGAGTGCGCTACACACAGGACCAGCTTCAGAAAGACGTTCCCCTGTTCTCACCACACCAGCAGTGGGGACAGACAATCCTGGGAACCCTGGGCCTGCAACAGCTCTGGGGTTGGAGACCAGGGTACGTGGGAGACGACCTGGACACTCTCGGGGCCGGGCTGGGTCCCCAGGGCCATAGACTCTCCTGCCTGCTCACGTCTCCGTCCTATGGCCCCGCTGCCCCAGGGCAGGACTGCCACCTCCAAAGCAGGGGCTTCCCTCTGCTCCTCACAGGCTGGACGTGGTCGTAGTCATGCAGGGGCTATGGGTCTCCAGAGGGTCAGAAACAAGGCGTTTTTCACAGATGCTCTGGGGACCACATGCCTGTGTGAGTGAGGAGCTTGGAGGATTCTGTGTTCAGGGAGGATGCCAGAGATCAGCCTCCACAGGGGCCATTGTTACGTCTGGGGTGTCTGGGGTGTGTCTTCTGTTCCCTCTGGCCAGTCCCTGTCCTGGTGGCAGAGGTATAGTTAGCAGGGTGACAGGCTGGGTCTCCAGGGACAGCGTTGGTGGCTTGTGCGGCCCTCGTCAGTGTCCAGAGCACTGGGCTGTCTGTACCATGTGAAAATAGCCTCTGATGACCCCAAAGTGTGGACCAGTGAGTCATACTTGGTTGTCCCTTGTTGGTAAACGTCAGTGTCTGACCCCTCGGGTCTCCAGGGATCCACGTTCCACGGAAACACTGCAGTCCTTCATAAAGGCCATCGACTGGGCCAAGGCCGGGAGGTTCACCCAGCAAGACATCGACGAGGCAAAGCTCTCGGTCTTCTCTGCCGTGGATGCTCCAGTGGCACCTTCAGATAAAGGTGCGTAGTGTAGCAGACACACCTGGAGCCACGGTGCCCGAGCTCATCCTCCCAAAATTGTGCTTCCCCTTTTGCCCAACGTATCAACTGAGTCAGGAGGAGTGGACATGAGGGGTTAGTGCTGAGACCTGTGGTGGAAGCAGGGCGTGAAAGCTGGGAGGGGCTGTGTGTCCCAACAACCACCCCATTCCATCCCCTGTACTCGCTCTCAGGCCTGGACCACTTCCTGTATGGCCTCTCGGACGAGATGAAGCAGATACACCGTGAGCAGCTCTTCGCCGTCGGCCATGAAGACCTGGTCAACGTGAGCAACAGGTGAGTGGGAGCCGGGTGCTTAGTGTCCAGTCCCTGTGACCCCATGTCACCTGAGTGACTGCTCCCCTACTGCCTCCAGGTACCTGGACACCGGGAGAAGCGCACACGGCGTGGCTCTGCTTGGGCCAGACAACGCGAGCATCGCTAAGGACCCGTCGTGGGTCATAAGACGGCGGTGACTAGACAACGTGAGCATCACCAAGCAGCTGTTGTGGTCATAAGACAGCGGTGACCCTGCCTCCTGATGCTGAGTGCCTTGCTTTCCTCAGCTTTTAAGTTATTTTTTTAACAAAACTCTTGATCATGTGTATATATTATTTATATATCAAATATATACGATCATATATACATGATATCATTTGATATCATTCTTAAAATTTTGCCTAAGGTCTTGTCTGGCAAGTCAAATGAAAACTCTGTCTTGAAGAAGGAAATCGTGATCACGAAGAAATAACGGAAATCATCACTCACCAAACGCCACAGACGCACAGAGTATATAGTCTGAGACTTTCTGAAGCTTTAAGTGCTGTTTTACCTTAGTGTCCTAGTGCATGCCTTTAAAACTAAAAGGTGACTCTGACCTACCTGTGTGTTAGCCATTATTTTAAATGACTATTTTGTGAAGTAGCTTTTAGGGACTTTATGGAGAAACGCATGAGGTGTCCCGAGGCTGCCCTCCACTCACTGGCTGCGGGGCAGCTGTGTCCAGTCAGGCTCTGCTCCGAAGGGCACTGACTCTCCCCCATCCCCCTCCTCCTCCGGGCACACAGGGCGGGGGCAGGGGCCCCTTCTCTGCAGACTCTGGGGTGCATGCCCCCACTCCCCCTTGGGAGCATCACCTTCCCTGGTCCAGGGCCATCTGTGCGCTGGGCATCACCCACGTATTGCAGGTCAGAGCACTGCCTATTTCCTCCAGTGACTTTGCCTTACCTGTGGTCAGGTCAGATTCCCTAGGAAACACCTGCCTGTTTCTGCCAATAGAACCCTAAGAGCTGCCCGCACACCCCGAGGTTCAACTCCCACGTAAAATAAAGACACTGGGCACGGTGGTTGGAGTTGTAGCAAATGTTTAATTCTGCGGGATCCGCAGGTTGTGAAGCAGGAGACAGGACAGCATAGGCGGCCCGTGCACCAGAGCCTGGGGTCAGGCTTCACGTGGACGACACTCTTGTAAAGTGCTCATAAATAACTGGACCATGACAGCAAGTGGGTAGCAGCTAGATGGCGGCCGGCTCCTCGGGGCCCCGGGGCTGCACAGGCTCCAGCTGGCTGGCATCTGACACCTCGAAGCTGACCTTGTACTTGGCCAGGATCTTCATGAGGGGCCGCAGCTTCAACCACCACTGCTCCTTGGGGATCCGGTGCCTGTGGGGGGGACCAGGCTGAGTGGGGGTGGGGCCCACCCGGTGGGCCTCCCCCCTGTCCTTGACCTCAGGCGCTTACTCAAAGTCTGTCTCCTTCTTCAGTTCCGCCACGGGCTGGAAGAGCAGTTTTCTCTTGCTGATTCCCAGCACACACACAGAGTCGTCACTTAAAAATTTTTTTCCTATGAAAGGTAGAAAGACGATGTAAGAAAACAGACGATGTAAGAAAACGAGAGATGAGGTCTAGGTATTGGCACAAATAACCAAGGTCTGGAGAGCAGGGGGCGCGGAGAGCTGTAGGCACTGCAGAGAAGAGGGTAAATTGTGTACTTTCTTGCCCAGATTCAAACAAAAGCAGGTTCTATAAATATGGAAGACATGCAGCCATCAGCTCTCCCTACAGCAGAAGCACAGCCAGGACACAGGCAGAGGTTTATCAAACATCCAAAATCAGGACTCTTAGAAACACTCTCCCCAGGGAACCCCCAGGCTTATTGGATGCTAGAACAAGCCTGTCCTCTACACAGAGGGGAGCAGGGGATGCAGCCTACGGGTGTTGGGGGTACATGCCAAGGAGGCAAGGTGAATGTAACATGAGCAAATCAGCTAAAGAAAATTCAAGGGACCATCCATCTCATTCAATGCAAAAGTGTGTCCTAGCTGTCACAACTGAAACAATCCTTAGCGAACATCAGAGCATCCAGTATCCACCAAAGACCGTCAGCAAATAAGTTGGAGAAAGACTTCACTTAAATATTAGTGAGATTCTGAGTCATGAAGCACAGAAGTGTTCCCTGTGTTATCCAGCAGACAAGACAGGAGTTCTGTCACTACGTCTGGTGGGGTTTCTCTGGAGGAAACTCATCCACAAAAAGTCAAGGAAAAAAGAAGATTTGCATACAGATGCTGTGTGTGTAAAAACCAAGAAAAGATGCATCCATGCAGATGCTGTGTGTGAGAAAACCAAGATAAGACACATCCATGCAGATACTGTGAGAAAACCAAGAAAAGATGCATTTACGCATAATTACTACAATTTACATCAGTGTATAAAAATAAGTTGTATTTCTGTACGCCAGCAGTAAGAAATTATAATACTCTACAGTAATATATTTTTAAAATCACTAAGGAATAAACTTATAGTCAATAGCTTCATAAAAAATAATGCTTTAGTAACAAAGGGTCTAAATATATGGAGATTAAATTGTTCATGAATTAGAAGATAAATATTTTTAAAAAGTCAGTTCTTCCAAATTATTTGTTACTTATGTCATTTTTTATTTAAATGTAATCCCCACCTCCAAAACTCCAACAAAACTGATGGACACAAAGAGTCAAGAATAGCTGAAGCTGGAAGAAAGCCCAGGTAGGACTACCTGGTGAGAGTAATCGTCAAGCTGGAATATTGGCAAGATTGCTAACTGCCAAAAAAGAACCAAACAATCCAGAAACAGTCCCTTAAGTTTCTGGGTTCCTGTTCTTGGATGGAGATTAATTGTACTGCATATTGAGGGGAATGGATTTTTCAGTGGCCAACACCCAAGTAATTATTCACATGGAAAAAAATTAGACCTTACATGTTATACCAGTTCAAGTGGGCTAAAAACCAAATGTGAAAGGTGAATATTTTAGTAACAAAAAGCTCAAACCTTCAAGGACAAAGTTAAAAAAACTGACTACATTACTAAATTAAGAGCTCTTCATTAAAAGATAACCTTAACAGAAAAGGACAGGGTTTGCCAAATGGGAGACACATGTTTGCAACCTGTGACTCATAGAATATAAAACATCGGCCCTTCTCCAATATACAATATCAAAAATTCTTAAAATGGTTTTAAATTCTAGGAAATAACGCAACCCAAACAATCAGATGACATGAAGCGGTAACAGAATAAACAAGAGTGCTGGACCAGCAGGAAGGGCCTGGCATCTCCCTGCTGACCTGGAGGATTAGCCTCCGGCAGCCACAGGAGGACGGGACATCCACCATTACAGCAACAGCTCAGAGGTGACGCGGATGGGTGACCCCAGGGAGGGTGGGGTCCCACCAGTGAGCATGTGGTGGGCGAGACTGTTCTGGAGAACTGGCCTAGCTGGGCCTGGGCAGTGACTGTGACCCCGGGGCCACTCGCTCAGGGCCAGGTGGGTCCCAGGCCCTGTCAGAAACCAGCTCCCCTCATGTAAACCACAAAACCAGAGCCTTTGAAGGTTTAATCCTGCAAAGTCAGACCCTGAAGGAAGGATTGCAAGGCTGCTGCCCTGGGGAGGGGCTCAGAGGTGGAGGGAGGACCCACCGGGGAGGAAACCAGCCAGGAGCCTCTCCATCCCTTGCCATCTTCCCCAAAAAGAGAGGCCACAAAGGAATAATGGAAGGTGCCAAGCGTATTAGGTAAAAGCCAACTCGCTGTCAGCACAGCAGAGAAACAGGGAAGGTCACAGTGGGTCTGGGGCCCTCAGAGCAGGCAGTTTCTTCCTACGTGAGCGGAGCGCCTCCTGCAGTAATTAGCATTCCGTTTCCTTAAGTACATTTATTCCTAGTTATAACCTGAGTCACAGGCAGCAGCCGCAGAAGTCACGTGCAGCCCAAGGCCAGATGGACATGGGGCAGAAACGCGCCCGCGCAGAGCACGGCCCTCCCAACCCACACCGCCTGCCACCACTAGGTACCTTTCCCTGCAGACTCCCTCAGCTTCGAGCTGATCCACTGCATGGCTCTGGCGGAAATTTTGGTTCCAAAGTTTCTGTCAAACGGAGAAGGCGCCCCACCCTGTGGGTAGTCAGAGTTACATGAGAGTTAGACACCAGCATCTTCCTGGCTGTTAGCTTTTAAAATGGAACAAAAGTTACAATGACTAACAAAATTCACATCCTATTTCTAAGAAACTATAGTTTGTAAATACGAGTTTGGGGGTCTGTTTCTATCTCCTTGTATGTGGCTGGGACCAAACAAACCATAAGAAACCCTGTCACTACTGCAGCCAAAACCCCCTGGTCAGGTGCCGCTGCTTCGAGAGGAGGCGGCTTTTAATCAACTAGACCCCTTATGTCAGCATCTTCATCAGGACCCCTTCAGCTTGTCTTGGGGAGGCCGTGGGGAAGAGTCACAGTTCTCTTAAGAAGCTGGTCCACTCTCTGGGCTCACTTTCTGGGCTCGCTTTCAGAAAGACCTACACACGCCCACCATACACACCATCGTGTAACTTCAGGATAGTCAGTGAGTTTATGGACCCTGAACTACAAGCTCCTGAGACAGGGACTGAGACGTGATGGGCAGGCCTGCTGTTAGGGGGACCAGGTCCCGTGACTCCACTCCCACCTCTGGCACTGTCTGGGGTGTGCTGATGTGCATACCCCAAGATTCTGTCCAAATCGCTCTGATTTCACGCAGGTCTTGAAGAATTGCCATTTGTCTGACACTCCAGTTTAAATGCGTATGAAGGCCTGATACTGAATCAAACTACTGAAAAAAAGTTAAGACCAACCTAGACAGCGTATTAAAAAGCAGAGACATTACTTTGCCAACAAAGGTCCATCTAGTCAAAGCTATGATTCTTCCTGTTGTCATGTATGGATGTGAGAGCTGAACTCTAAAGAAAGCAGAGTGCCGAAGAATTGATGCTTTTGAACTGTGGTGTTGGAGAAGACTCTCGAAAGTCCCTTGTACTGCAAGGAGCTCCAACCAGTCCATCCTAAAGGAAATCAGTCCTGAATATTCATTGGAAGGTCTGATGCTGAAGCTGAAGCTCCAATACTTTGGCCACCTGATGTGAAGAACTGACTCATTGGAAAAGACCTTGATGCTGGGAAAGATTGAAGGCAGGAGGAGAAGAGGACGACAGAGGATGAGATGGTTGGATGGCATCACCGACTCAATGGACATGTGTTTGAGTAAGCTCCAGGAGTTAGTGATGGACTGGGAGGCCTGGTGTACTGCAGTCCATGGGGTGGCAAAGAGTCAGACATGACTGAGCGACTGAATTGACTGACTGAATCAAGTACTTAATTTGAACACATCTTTTCACTTAACTGGTGTCACTATGTATATGGAAGTGGACGTTTTTCTGACAAAGCCTATCTGCTCAACTGTCGGAACACAAAGTGTTCCTGAGGCTGATGATCGCCAGTATAATGACATAGTTCAGATGCTGATTCTAATCACTGTGGAACTGACTTAGGAATACACTTCCTTTTTACAAAACGGCTAACACAGGCCATCCAAGTGAGAAAAGGGGTGTGGCCATGCCCTGCCCACAGCCCACCTGCTGCATGTGGCCCAGCACATTCTTCCTGCAGTCGAACACGCCTTTGCCCTCCTCGGAGTAGAGCTGGTAGATGAAGTCGGTGGTGTAGTTCTCGCTGCAGTTCTCATTCCTGCAACACACGAGCCCAGGGTCGTCCTGCCCCAGCAAATGCCACCCCTCGCTCCTTATCACTGTGGCGGAATCATGACAGAAACCACTGAAAGAATCTTAGAAACTGACAACCAAGCAAAACTGAATCTCTAAAAATGGCCCTTGAGTCACTTAAATGCCAGCTAGTCTGAACGCAGAGCAGAGCGAGCCCGTGCGGAGGAGGAATAGTGTTCAGGGACCACGGGCCGTTACCTGAGCACGAGCCCCCTCTGGATGCTGGTCTTCATCTTCTCCGTCAGGTGCTCCACGTTGGACTAGGAAAGTCAGTTCACTGTGATTAGTCTCCTGCTGTGTGCCGGGCACTGCCCCAAGTGTGGCCAGCGTGGCTGCTCTGAGCTGACCTCGTGGCAGAGGGGACAGTGGACAGTGACGTGTCAGCTAGTGACACCCACCGGGGACAGCGGCCCACGGAGACCGCAGCCGCGGCGAGGGGAGGGGGTCATGGCATCAGTGCACCGCTCAGTGTCCAGAGGTGACTGAGAGGTGAGCCGTCCCATGGACACGTCACTGTGTGCTCACCTAAGGCTGCTCCCCACGCCCCTGGCCAACACCTGCCCCTGCTATCTCAGAGGAACACGGCTGTCACCCGGCTTTACACAGAGACTCCTGACCCTGCCTAACAGGCACGTTCAAGCACGAGAATTTTCTAAGGAAGAACACAGCTTGAGAGAGGATGTGTGCAAGAAAAAGGGAGCGAGGACACACGAGCATAGGTTCCAAAGGAAGCCGGCTGCAGAAGAGCAGGCAGACTGAGTTTCCTGTACTGATTATGGGGGCGACACTTCCCTCGGCTGCGTCCTGGCCGGGGCAAGCCTCCCCAGGGGCACTGGGCAGCCCTCCCCACATTGTCCTCCCCATGTCCTGGGCCACAGGGGACCAGGGGCTCCTCCGGGCGGGGGTCTGTCCTCTAGTGCTGCACAGTTTCCCCGGCTCAGACCCACAAGGACCCCGAGCTCTGGCCGCCTGCGCACCCGAGGCCTGGACGTGGTGGCCATGAGCCAGCAAGGCCCCAGGCTCCTAGCACGTCCGTGTCCCCGCAGGTGTAGGGCCTCCAGGGAGGGCGTTAACTGCTTCCCAGGTGAGCGTGTAAGAGACAGTTACAAGCTTGGGGTACAAGCAGCAGGTACCCCGGAACCTGTTCCAGGGGTTGCCCTGTCCCCACCCATGGAACTCACAGTGCCTCCCTGGTGTCCGCGACATAGGGGGGTGGGGTTTCCTGAGACCCCTGGACCTGTCGGGCAGTGACCCCTGGGACCCCGCGTCCACTCACCTGCAGGTCCCGGATGTCGAAGGGCTCCTCGAAGATGTAGGCAGCATCTGCGCCAGCCGCCAGTCCCCCCATGTTGGCCAGGTAGCCACAGAAGCCGCCCATGGTCTCGATGATGAACACGCGCCGCTTGGTCCCGCTAGCCGACTGCTTGATGCGGTCACATGTCTGCACAAGGGGACACAGTCAGGAGACGCGGACACTGCCCCACGGCCGGCCCTGACCTAGGGCGGTGTGCTGAGCCCTGGGCCCTGGCCTCTCAGGGCTCGTCAGCAGGCATGTCCCTGCTCTGTTTTCTCCTGAAACGCTCCGGGACACATGGGGGGAAGAAGGCTTTGTGCACCCAAGTGTACCACCACCAGCAGAGAGACCTTTGCTCGAAGACTTTGCTTTAAATGTGGACAAGCACTGTGATGACAGAGGGGCCCCATTCCGTCACCCCTGATGACCCCTTCAGAGTCTGTGATGGATCACCACTCTCCCCCAAAACAGACTGATCTCATCCAAACCCAGGGTGCACTTCAGCAGCTGGGAAGCTCCACGTTCTCTAAGAGCCCAGACAGAAAAAGAAACCACGTCAACGCGCCCATCTTGTCCTCCTGGTGCTCAGGCCTGGGGGTGCCTGGCTGGGTGGGGAGACCCACAGGGCTGCGGTGTCCACGGGTCCTTCATGCGGCATTTGAGCACTAAGACCTGCCTGCCTGGCCTCTGTCTCAGGAATTCAGGGTGGGGGATGCACAGGCCCCCTGGGCTGCAGGTCTCGTGGGCTCCCCTCCTGACACAGAACAGCAGCTATCCCCACCAGCTGGCAAAGCCCCTCCTGTGAGGCCCACGCACCCAAGTCTCGGCCCCACCTGGACGTGCCCGCTGGCCTCGACAGCAGAGGTCCTGGTGACAGCCTCTCTGTCTAAGCATCAGCTCAGAACCTGTGCTCAACTGCCATTTACTGGGGCTCTGTGCCCAGCTGAGACGGGAACCCTCCAGCACAGGGGGCTCTGCATCTGGTCCCCGCTGGGGGAGGACACGGGTCCCACTGTACACAGCACAGGCCAGGCGGCAGGGTGCTGATGGGCAAGGGTCAGTGCCAATGGGTGCCAGGTGGGCAGGGATCAGAGATGCTGGTCTCTCGGAGCCTGGGTGACACCGGTCTGCTGAGGCCCCACTCGGATGGGGCTGGAAGGGATTGTGGGTGAAGCCCCTCAGGAAGGGCGTCTCCTCCCCACCTCCCTGACACGGGCTCCACTGGACTCTCATACCCCCAGCACCGGGTCCCTCTGCCCACCCCCTTGCTCTGCATTCTGTCTCCTCTAACACCACGCTGCCGCTGGTCACCTGGGGGCACCTCGGGGCTTTTGTCCTGGTAGGCAGGAGCAGGCTCACCGAGAGCCCCCCAGGGGAACAGCCCACCGAGAGTTGGCACAGGTGGGCTCCCCGAGACAGGCCTCGCGGAAACTGTGTGCTAACCCGAGCTGATGAGAAACAGGGCTCATTCACCCTGGAACATCCAACAGGTCCCCGTTCCGGTTCTTCTTGAGTGGGAAAGACAGACCCTGTGGGACCCCTGACGGGCCGTCTCCTTGAGCAAACGCGAAGATCTTACCTCCACAATCACGTTCAGGCACGTATCACAGCCTATGCTCAGGTCTGTGCCTGGGACGTTGTTGCTAATGGTGGCGGGCACCATACAAACGGGGATGCAAAACTCAGGGTGGCTGTCGCGTTTCTTCGACAGCTCCAGCAAGCTCCGGAAAGCCTGAGCGGAGCGGGGGCAGGTCAGCAGGGAACCCACATCCATGACGGCCAATGGGGAGGAAGCTGCAGGGGAGAGACCTGGGGGGGCTTGGGGTGCAGGGGGAGACCACCAGGGGGGACTCTGGGTGCAGGGGAGACTAGCAGTGGGGACTCGGGGTGCAGGGGGAGACCAGCAGGGGGACTCGGGGTGCGGGGGGAGACCAGCAGGGGGACTCGGGGTGCAGGGGAGACCAGCAGGGGGACTCGGGGTGCAGGGGAGACCAGCAGGGGGACTCAGGGTCAGGGGAGACCAGCAGGGGGACTTGGGGTGCAGGGGGAGACCAGCAGTGAGGGACTCGGGTGCAGGGGAAGACCAGCACTGGGGGATTTGGGGTGCAGGGGGAGACCAGCAGGGGTACTCGGGGTGCAGGGGAGACCAGCAGTGGGGGACTCGGGGTGCAGGGGACCAGCAGGGGGACTCAGGGTGCAGGGGAGCCCAGCAGTGAGGGACTCGGGTGCAGGGGAAGACCAGCACTGGGGGACTCGGGGTGCAGGGGGAGACCAGCAGTGGGGGACTCGGGGTGCAGGGGGAGACCACCAGGGGGGACTCGGGTGCAGGGGGAAATCAGCAGGGGGTATTTGGGGTGCAGGGAGAGACCAGCAGGGGGACTCGGGGTGCAGGGGACCAGCAGGGGGACTCAGGGTGCAGGGGAGACCAGCAGTGGGGGACTCAGGGTGCAGGGGAGACCAGCAGTGGGGGACTCAGGGTGCAGGGGAGACCAGCAGGGGGACTCAGGGCGCAGGGGAGACCAGCAGTGGGGGACTCAGGGTGCAGGGGACCAGCAGGGGGACTCAGGGTGCAGGGGAGACCAGCAGTGAGGGACTCGGGTGCAGGGGAAGACCAGCACTGGGGGACTTGGGGTGCAGGGGGAGACCAGCAGGGGGGACTCAGGTGCAGGGGGAGACCAGCAGGGGGACTCGGGGTGCAGGGGAGACCAACACTGGGGGACTCAGGGTACAGGGGAGACCAGCAAGGGGCACTCGGGGTGCAGGGGGAGACCAGCAGTGGGGGACTCGGGGTGCAGGGGGAGACCACCAGGGGGACTCAGGGTGCAGGGGAGACCAGCAGGGGCAACTCGGGGTGCAGGGGAGACCAGCAGGCGGGACTCAGGGTGCAGGGGGAGACCAGCAGGGGGGACTCGGGGTGCAGGGGAGACCAGCAGGGGTACTTGGGGTGCAGGGGAGACCAGCAGGGGGACTCGGGGTGCAGGGGAGACCAGCAGGGGCACTCGGGGTGCAGGGGGAGACCAGCAGTGGGGGACTCGGGGTGCAGGGGGAGACCACCAGGGGGACTCAGGGTGCAGGTGAGACCAGCAGGGGCGACTCGGGGTGCAGGGGAGACCAGCAGGCGGGACTCAGGGTGCAGGGGGAGACCAGCAGGGGGGACTCGGGGTGCAGGGGACCAGCAGGGGGGACTCGGGGTGCAGGGAGACCAGCAGGGGGACTCGGGGTGCAGGGAGACCAGCAGGGGGACTCGGGGTGCGGGGGGAGACCAGCAGGGGGACTCGGGGTGCAGGGGAGACCAGCAGGGGGACTCGGGGTGCAGGGGAGACCAGCAGGGGGACTCAGGGTCAGGGGAGACCAGCAGGGGGACTTGGGGTGCAGGGGGAGACCAGCAGTGAGGGACTCGGGTGCAGGGGAAGACCAGCACTGGGGGATTTGGGGTGCAGGGGGAGACCAGCAGGGGGGACTCAGGTGCAGGGGGAGACCAGCAGGGGTACTCGGGGTGCAGGGGAGACCAGCAGTGGGGGACTCGGGGTGCAGGGGACCAGCAGGGGGACTCAGGGTGCAGGGGAGCCCAGCAGTGAGGGACTCGGGTGCAGGGGAAGACCAGCACTGGGGGACTCGGGGTGCAGGGGGAGACCAGCAGTGGGGGACTCGGGGTGCAGGGGGAGACCACCAGGGGGGACTCGGGTGCAGGGGGAAATCAGCAGGGGGTATTCGGGGTGCAGGGGGAGACCAGCAGTGGGGGACTCAGGGTGCAGGGGACCAGCAGGGGGACTCAGGGTGCAGGGGAGACCAGCAGTGAGGGACTCGGGTGCAGGGGAAGACCAGCACTGGGGGACTTGGGGTGCAGGGGGAGACCAGCAGTGGGGGACTCGGGGTGCAGGGGGAGACCACCAGGGGGACTCAGGGTGCAGGTGAGACCAGCAGGGGCGACTCGGGGTGCAGGGGAGACCAGCAGGCGGGACTCAGGGTGCAGGGGGAGACCAGCAGGGGGGACTCGGGGTGCAGGGGACCAGCAGGGGGGACTCGGGGTGCAGGGAGACCAGCAGGGGGACTCGGGGTGCAGGGAGACCAGCAGGGGGACTCGGGGTGCAGGGGACCAGCAGAGGGGACTCGGGTGCAGGGGAGACCAGCAGGGGGGACTCGGGTGCAGGCCCAGAGCACACAGGCTTGGGCAGGTGGGCAGCAGAGCAGGGCTAAGGCGGCGAGGGGTTAGTGGTGGACGAGCAGCCAGGCCTTTCTGGCATCAGGAGGAGATGTGGGCGGCCACTTGGTGGGACCTTAGGGGCCAGGCTGCCGGGACCCCTCGGAGAGGTAGTGGGGAGGCGGACGCCCACAGAGCCCCCTCCGCCCCGGCTGTGTGACCCTCACAGAGAGCCCAGGGCGGGGTTCGGGATCCCCGGGAAACCATTGGGCTCCGATGTCAGAAAAGCGGGCTGCTCTCAAGCACACGACCAGGGCCCAGACCTCCCACCTCCGCGTTAGTGCAAGTAGCTTGTTAGTGTCCCGGTCCACCACCCACCCCTGAGGCCACAGTGCCCCATGGCCATGCTCACAGAACCCGGCCTCTGCCCCATCTTTATTGCTCCCACTTGGAGCCACTTCCGATGCCTTGTGAGGGGAAATTCCCGGCAGGATGACCCGGGCTTTCCGGAAAGCGTGGCTCTCTGCTGGCCCTGCCACTTCCATCCCCAGACTCCCAGACAGGCTGGGTTCTGGGGGCTATGGCCCTAGGAGGTGTGGACGGTCGGCCCACACTGGGTGAGTCCAGGGAGCGGCCATGAGGAAGTTCAGGGGGTTGCTCACCAGCCCCATGCCCCACCACCGTCCTCAACCACCCCCCACGCAGTCCAGCCCAGATCCCCACGGGGAACCTCCCCAGCCCCCATGCAGCTCAAGGCCACCGTGGGGCTGCCTGGATGCCTGCTGGATGGAGGGGTGGTGAGCCCTGTGGTTAGACGGGCTCCCAGGCTGTCTGCACCCCGCAGGATGCTTTGGGTGGGGGCACCCAGCACAGGAGGTGGGCAGGACGCTGACACCTTGAAATCTGACGGCAGTTCTCCACCTGTACATTCTTCCCACCCTCTCTCTGACCCCCATCACTCCCTGATTTTCCTCTCATCTCTGGAAAATGAGACGGACACTCAGAGCCAGGAGAACCCTGCCTAGGACATAAGCCCAGGGTCCTGGGGGCAATGCTGGGTGAGCCAGCCGCCTGGGCAGCATTGAGCTCATGTCAGCTGCGGCTCTGAAGGGGACCAGTGTGCGGCCCAGAGGAGGAGACACAGCCCCTGCTTTGGTTTCGGACTGTCTGAACTCGAGCCCTGAGGACCAGTGCTACCCCAGGACCCTGGGACCTCGTGATGGAGTAAGTCCCCTGGGATCTGTTTCCAGGAACGCATCCATAAGCTCAGCACACAGACTGACGAGGAGGGGACATGAGGACAAGGGTTAAGTGTCCAGAGGATGTGCCACCTGACGACACCAGGCCACCTCAGGGTTCACCCCCTCGGCCCCCTGGGATATTCCAGCTGAGGACCCCAGGCTGTGGGGTCATCCTGACATCACGGGGTCAGCAGCATCCAAGCTGATACTCACCAGACACCATGCCCCACCTCCCCAACCCCTGCCGCCCAGTTCTGACGGCCAGGGTGCCCCCAAATATCGCAGACTTTGGGGACAAAGTCACCGCCAGACCACCCTGGCCTGTGAGCGGAAGAGTGCAGCTGGGACAGGAGGTGCCTGGGGCTGTCCCCGAGGCCGGGAGGTGGCAATGCCACCATCCAGACCCCAGATGCCGGGCCACAGAGGCCTGTCCTGAGAGCACGGCGGACCAGACAGACGAACAGACGCTGAGCTGGCTCTGGAAGCCCGAGAGCCTCCTGCCTCCCAGGGTGGCTCGGGAACAATGACCCTCGGGCCCTCCCCCAGCACGGTCCTGCCTGCTGCCCCTTTCTTGAATGTGCCTGGCCCAGCCGAGGGCCAACCAAACCCAGGCCTCCTGAGAGACTGAACTGCACTGCGGCTCAACACACACAAGCTGAGGAGCCAGTTGGCCTCCCATCCCCCAGCTCCAGGACCCACTGATCAGGCCCAGCACAGGGTCATCCCAACCACCGCCTGACCACTGGGCACGAACTTAGCAGCAGAGCAGCAACCCCAATTTGTGGGGCGGCCCTGGCCCATCACCAACAGTGACCCCGGCTCCGAGAAGCTCCAGTAAAGAAAAGCCTGAGTGTTAAGGGCCATGTAATAAATCTCAAAACCCCTTGAAGGGAAGCAGGACCACGTGGAATTTCCCCAGACCTGTCCTAGTTTTCAGATTTTCAACAACCCACGTGTAGGGACTCTCTATCACTTGGAAAAGTAACTCTTCGTAGCAGAGGAGCCTGGGATGAAGAAGTGGGAGCACCCTGTCCTGCTGAGAGTGTGTGGAAGGTCACAGGGGACACACACCGACCCTGGTCAGGACCCACCAACGACCGCCCCCGGAGCTCCTGCCACCCCCGGGGTCTCGTCAGGCAACAATCAGGACACGAACTCCGGCTGCTTCTACTGCAAGCGTGGCGAGAGCACTCAGACCCAGCTACGCGGGAGCAGTAATGACACACAACCTTTCAACTCAGACCTTGAGCAGCGAGCGGTCAGAGGCTGAGTTAGTCCCACGGCAGCAGAAGCACAGACGGCATCCCCGGGGGCACAAGGGGCGGGCACACGGGTGAGGAGGTCCAGCACGCGGACACCGGCCAAGGCCACGCCAGAAGGCTTTTTAGTACAGAAACTGCAGAAAGTTGAAGAGGTTCAGGAAAGCAAGGAACCAGCACCAAGCACTGCTTACCGCATACATCCTACTTTAAAAGCTTTTCTTTTATTTACCGGCACTGGAGACAGATTTGATGCCCATTGGTTTAAGGGAAAAAAGCTAGAAACACAGCCACAAGGCCTGCGTCTCCCAAGGAAAATAAAACCTGAGAATTTACCAGAAAATTCTAGACACTGAATTGGAAAAAAAAAAAAAAAAGCTATGCATTCTGATCCTCACTGATCTTCAAACACCCAAGCGATTTCCCAAGTATGATTTAAATTTATGATAGTTAAAATGTATTTCTATGCTTTCTATGGACTTTAGGGGGATAAAAAAAACATTCAGGTACCATCGGGTATTCTTTTACATATGGTTTATCATCCCCAGTCCACAAACAGGAGAAGGAGGACAATTATTTAAAAGGATCCAGGTCAGTGAATGAACTCACAAAATCTTCAGTCCAGCTCCTACCCTCAAACATCAAAGCACAGGCCCCTGGACCCAGGTTTCATCACAATAACACAATAACGTGTTATAGGCTTGGGGGAAATTTAGCTCAGCCAAAAAACAAAGGGGGTGGGTTTAATCAAATATCCACATCACTGTGACTCAAAACTAGCTGAACTACCGATAATGTCACCCTGGCTGCAGCGAAGGGAAACAGAGGTGAAAATCTTTGGGGGCCGAATTGTAGATTGTCAGGCTTTTTTTTTTTTTTTCTCTTTTTTGGCCGTGTCAGCATGCAGAACCATAGTTCCCCAATCAGGGATCAAACCTGCACCCACTGCCTCGGGAGCGTGGAGTCTTAGCCACTGGGCCGCTAGGAACATCCCTTTATTTTAAAAAAGAAAAACTTTTCAGCAGACCCCGGGACCAGCCTGTCTCGAGCACACGGTACATAAAAGCGGGCCAGCACCCGGGTTAGTTCCACAGCCCCTGCCCTGCTGCCCACACTCACATCAGTGATGGTGTTGAGGGCGGTGTCCGCCCCGATGCTGAAGTCGGAGCCGGGCACGTTGTTGGAGACGGTGGCAGGGACCATGACCATGGGGACACAGAACTCCTCGTGCTTCTCCCGGGCGGCCAACAGCTCCAGCAGCCCCAGGTAGGCCTGCAGGTGAGTGTGTGAGGTGGGGGGGCGGGTGGGTGGTGGGTGGCCAGGCATTGCTATCCGGGCGTCGGCCCAGGGCAAGACTAAGCTGCTCACGGGTGAGCGTCTGACTGTTTGAGGTTCTCATGTTTTCTTTAAAGGAAATGTCAAGGTCATCATGAGGCTGATTTTAAAAACGAAGGTAGACAATCCAACAGGTAGTTAAAAGATTTGGCCCCATAACTGCCTTCCTCTCTGAGTCACCAATGGGCTGCCAACTCGAGAGAGAGGGCCATCTCCACAGACCCAGCAGACGTGAGGACTCACTGAGCAGACAGCCCAGCCACGGGGTCGGGTGGGTGAGTGGCCCCGAGTCCTGCATCACCAGTGTTCAGTGGCATCTGGGCCCGCGGCTCCATGGCCCCCAGTCCCGACGAGGAGCCAAGGGCAGGGTGCTCACGGGACCCGGCATGGGGTCCCCTCTCAAACCCACAGCGCCGGCCAGCAGGGGAGCAGACGTACCTCGAATCCACCAATGATCAAGAGTGCGTTGATGCTGTGGGTTCGCATCTGCGCCGCGATGTCCTCCAGGTACTTCCCAGGGAGAGTGCTGGGGAGGTTCAAGGGGGCGAGCTCAGGCAGGACCCCCTCTGCGCCCCACCCTCTGAGGCCAAGCAGCATGGCACTCAGGGGCAGGGGGCGCCCTGGCTGGGGGACAGCGTGGCTGGGGAGCCACCCACGGTGGGCGCGGCTAGGAGTCAGGTCTCAAAAGAGGGTCTTATGGGAAGAAACTTTGCTGCTGCCTCACAGCTGGACCTCAGAAACCCCCACTGCCTGGTTAGGGACATGGTGAACCATGGAAGCTATCAAACGTTCACAGCGGTAATCGTCTGGATGGAAACATCCAGTTTTCGAGTCACGTACAGAGTACACACAACTCATCCAGAGTAATCTCACTCAAAGTCACCTGCATGCACACATGCTCACCTTGTCCTGTTCCACCCTCTGTCCACACACGGCCGCAAGTGGAGGAGGCAAAGGATACTCGGCCATCGTGAGAGCCCGCCCGGCGCCCACCCCGACCTTTCTGCTGTGGCCCCTGGGCATCATGGCTTCACTTGGGGTGGGCTTCGCTCGGGGAAGGTGTACAGAGGTCATAGGGCTGGGCGCTCACAGCACATGAGTGGATGTAGAGTCGACTAGAGGGTCCCCCAGCGTCTAAGCATCGTGAAAACATGCTGCCAGCCACTCCTCCAGCCCCGCCACCCCCAGAGCAGCCCCTGGGATGGGGGCGCTCATGAAACAGACAAGTTGGGGTATCACAGTCGGTCTGAAGAGGCCCAGGAGGCAGCCAGGGGGCTCCATGCCCTGCATGGAGCTCCGCTGTTCAGAACACCATCCCGGAGGGCGCTGGGGGAACAGGACCACAAGAGCTCTGGACACCTAGGTCAGCTCCGCAGAGCGCTGGTGGCAGGGTACCCAGCTTCAGAGCAGGGTAGAGACTGGGATGATTCTCTTGGATGACAGACTACCACTTGTGTGGAATCCAACACCCCTTAGAGCCCAGGTACCCACTACTGTCCTTCCACATAACATGGGACATACAGTGATGGCTGCACCCAGAGATGAGAGAGCAAACAGCCTCGTGTTAAATCAGCACCTTGGCGGGAACACCTCTGGGCCTCACTGTGCCCACAACAGGAGCAGCCACAGTTCAGAAACCTATGGTTTTGTGTGGAGCCCCTCGGGTCCTCCCTCGGGCAGTGGGAACCTGGTGGCTGGGCTCCCTGGACACTGAGCCATATCCAGCTCCTCTGCAGGGCGCGGTCACCACAGCTTATGCGCCCGCGTCTGCACTGCCCCACGCGGGATGAGGGCTTTCTGCCACCACTGGCTTCTACCAACGAGAGAAATAAGGGACCAGCGGGGAAGCCCTCCCAGGTCCTCTGCTTGGTGTCTCTTCAAGGCCACGTCTCATTTGCTCCCCACACCTGGCCTGGGTCCCTCCCAGAGTGTGGCCCGGACGCGAGCTGGTGCCAATCCCTTCCCTCCCAGATCCCAGACGGGACATGAATGACGCACAGTTCCTCTCCCCGGGATGCGGCACCCTGCTCCCTGAAAGCAGGTCAGTATCAAGACAGAAGAAGTACCGTTTTGTCCCAAGGATGGAGCCGCCTTGGCCCGTCCAGCCTCCGACATCTCCCCAGCCAATTTCCTTTATCTAAGGCGCAAACACATAGAGAAACAACTGAAGTGAACAAAAAAAGGGAAGGAGAAGGCTTTACAAACAGCTCAAAGTTTGCGCCTCTGACAGGCGGCATGTCTGTAAGAATTTGCGGAACATGAAGAACACCTCCCCCACTACCTCACGTGCACCTGCTCCCCTTCCCACCTCATGTCCTGGTTCTGGGACCCCAGAGACGCAGTCCCCACTGCCTCTGAGAAATCCAGAACCTGCCTTTCACTGAAGCCCTTCCCTGCGGGCGCCCCCAGGACCCACCTGGCCTTTGGCGAAGCCCTCGAATCCATCATACACGGCGAACATCTTGTGTCCCTCAGAGATGCCCACACGCACGGCGGCGCGCACGGCTGCATTCATGCCGGCGGCGGGCGCACCCACATTCACGACGCCCACATTGCAGTTGCTCTGCAAGTTGGGGGCCAGGGCGGGGGGGTGCGGGTCACTGGCTAGGCGCACCCCCCCAACCCCCTGGCACCACTGCATCCCGAATGCATGTGCAAGTGATGGGCTGGCGCGGGGACTCCGGGGCTGCAAGGTCTGGCTGGGCGGGGGTGGGAATGATGCACTGGAGCAGCAAGGGGTGGCCTCCGCAAAGCGGGAACCGAGCCGGGCAGGACGCGGGCCTCGTCCAAGGCAAAGGAGAGAATCAGGGTGGTGGGGGGTGGGTGCGGGGGGCAAGGTCTCCTACGTTTGGGATCTCGGAGTCCGGCAACTTGATGGCCAACCGCTTGTAGGTGTTAAGGTTGTTCTCGAAGCTCCTGGAAAAAAAGGCCAGAGTCAGACCACAGGCTAGAGAGCAGGACAGAGTAGTTGGGCTCTCCCGGGGAGAAGGGGCCCCAGACGATGCCTGTGCGGGGCAGGGGTGACTGTGGTGCCAGCTTCGTGTCTGGAGAGGAGCCCCAGGCTGTCCCAGTGACTGGGATGGACACTGTGTGAAGGGCTGAGGGTGTTGTGTCCAGGACACAGCTAGTTTCTTTCCTGGAGTGCTAGCAGTCACATGTCAGGCTCTCTCTCATCTCAGCTTCTGAATGACCCCCACCTCACCAAAAAACAAACACATTTCCCTCTAATTAGTCACCCAGACCATCCACCAGCAGAAGTAGTGCCTCCTGTCTCATTTCTGGCTTCTTATGTTGAGACAGAAGCAACGTGACCTGGGCACATGCTGAGAAACAGAGGCTTCGGGGAAACAGTTTTCAGAATAGTCACCTTCCTCGGAGTTGCACGGCGTCCTTAAATCTCCTCTCATCCATTGCCTTTTGTACCTCCTGGGTCTGTAAGGAAGAAAGAATGTGTCAGGACTCAGCGTGTCCCCGGATCTGGGCTGGGGACACAGAACCAGCTGGGACCTTCCATCCCGGGTTTGTTCGGGTCCGACCTTGCAGCCGGCAGCTGGGGTCAGCGAGCCCACACCACCTGGCCACCACCCAGCCTGCTTCATAGAAAAGGATCAGAGGCACTGCCAGGGTAAGTAGGTCCTGAGATCTCAGGGATCCTGCCCCCTGAGAGCAAGGCCAGGAGGTGAGTCTTCCAGGCCAGACTCTGAACGACCCCCTTTGACTCTGGTGAGGAAAAAGCAGACAGAAACCACCTCATTCCCCAGGGAGCAGGGGCAGAGGGACAGGGCTGGGGGCAGGCGGTCTTGGAGCCAGGGCACTTGGGGTCCAGCAGCAATTCCCCCTTTCAGCCCTGGGATCCCAGGCAAGTCACCCCTCTCTCTGAACTTCAGTTTCCTCAGCCGTGTGGTGGTGACCACACTCCCGGCCCTTAGGAAGAGACCCAGTGAGCAGCAGCTGGTCAGGGAGGGGCCGGCTGTGGCCTTGCGACCATCAGGCTGAGACACCATGATGCATGGTGGTTCGAGGACAAGCCAGTGGTACCAGCTGCCTCTGTCTCCAAACTGACAGAGACTGGACAGAAGAAGTGAATGTGCTCATGGTAAACCACTTCATGTTGTTCCATGTTCTGTTCTTCTAAGCCACAGCCTCACACTCCACACATGACACATGCACACACATGCATGACACGTGCGCACACTCATACACGCACACATGACATGTGCACACTCATACACACAGGCATGACGTGTATACAGGCATGCACACACATGCATGACATGCACACACACAACACATGCACTCATACACATGCATGATGTGCACACTCATACACACATATGCATGACGTGTACACAGACACGTGTGCACACACATTCCCACATGCACATGTGCACACATGTGCACACTCATACACACAGGCATAGCACATGTACACAGACACATGCAGGACATATGTACACAAGCATGCACATACATACATGACACATGCATGCACACACGTGCACTCGTACACATGCATGGCATGTGCACACTCATACACACATACATGACATGTACACAGACACAAATGTGCACAAACATCCCCATGTGCACACACATGCATGGCATGTGCACACACACATGCACATACATGCATGGCACATGCACACACTGACACATTGCACACACTCACAGGCACACATGAATGATACATACTCAGACACAGATGCACACACGTGCACACACACAGGATTCACTTACTGCCACAGGCTTATGGAAAGTACGTTTCTAAGGTTTCTTTCAACAAGTCCCTTAACTTAATCACCTCTCTGTACACATTATAAAATACACACACCTCAGAGCCACTGAGAAGACCAAATAAATTGATAGTCATGAAGAGACTTTGAAAAATAAATGGTAAGTTTCTAATGCAACTCCACGGCTGCCTCACCTAGTGGACAGTTCACTGGGAAATGAGCCTGAGGAGGTGCTGCACGTCGGGGTGTCACCTGAGGGAGGCCCCCCCTATGTATCACATCACAGATGTGAGGGTCTCAGGGATGGGAGGGCAGGAGGGGCTGACCCTGGAGAGGCTGGATGGTGTCCCTCCTGCCCTGTGAAGACCCTGGTCCCTGCAGGGCTGTCTCCAGCCTCCCAGGAAGCACACGAGCGCCCAGAAGATGCCCTCCCATAGGACAGACTAGACTTGCTGTGGAGGTGGCGCAGCGTGCTCATGTCACAGTACCAAGATGGGAGCTGACACCCCCATTCTGCCATCCATCCCCCCAGGATGGGGGTTCCTCGGGAAGGTCATTCACTCCTGTGGTGAACCCAGCCCGTGCCCGCACTCACCATCTGTACGCACTCCATCAGTGGCAGCCTCACCGCCTGGTTCCCGCTCAGTGACACTACACAGGCTGGGGTCTCGGGGGTGGCCTCCAGGAGGGCAACCACGGCCTCCACCCCCATGCGGCTGGCCTAGAAATGACATTACGACGGTCAGAGCCAGCCCTCCACCCACCTGCAGCCCAGCCTGCTGCCCTGGGAAGAGGCCTGCCTGGTTCAGACAAGACCAGCTGCATCCTCAGCTTCCCCCTCACTTCTCCTGCCCTGAGTCTCTGTTAGTTACTCAGTCCTTCCCCCTTACTTCTAACCCCCTCCAACAAAGAGCTCAATTCCAGTTAGAACCAGCCAGAGGGGCTGGGGGCTCAGAGGCATGCAAAGCAGGAAACAGAGACTGCACTCTGGGTCTCTGTGGTCCCTGGGTCCATTTCTAGAAACCTGCACAAGAAAACTGCCTTTCCACCTTCTGGGTGTTGTCCCCCATGTTTGGTGGGGTCTCCCAGTGGGTAGCTGGGGGCCAAGGAACCCTCCTGGTGAGCAGGTCTCCCAGGGACCTCAGGGAAAAGTCTCAGCACTGTGGGCAGAGATGCCTTCACTGATGGTTCCACCCAATCTTCGTAGCAACCTGGTCCCTTTGCGGTCGCAGAAGCTTTCCTTGCCTTGGGACATGCCTGGCCAGCTCCAGCCTCACTCACCAGAATCCGGTCAAAGGCTGACGGCGTCCCTCCTCTCTGCACGTGTCCAAGGATGGTCACTCGCGTGTCGTAGCCCAGCTGCGTGACCACGAGCTGAGGGGAAACAGGACACGGCTGGGCGTGTCATCTCATCCAGGACAGGGGGCTGGGGACCAGGGAAGGGCTCCACCCTTTATGCACATCTATGTGCAAGAATGTCCCGGTTTCTAAATTTTACTTCCTCAAAGAACATTCAACAGCTTGCCAAAATCTTTTTTTTTTTTTTTTAAAGAGAATGCTTTAAGTGCAGGTAAAACCATTCTCTCTCCTACTTTGCCAGTGAACATAACTAAAACAGGTTTTTAAAGATACTGTTTCTAAAGCTTGTATTTAAAAGCATGGATACTTTATAAAAATGTAAACTTTTCCATGAATCACCTTAAATTTGTAAGGTTGTATTCGAAAAGCACAACACAGTAACTCCAGGCATCACCTCAGGCCAGGGTCACGAAAACCCAGCCGGGTGGCCAGGCCAGGTCTCCTGTCCCCCATGGCCCTCATTTACTCTATAAAAATGTCGGGGCTGGGGCACGGGACTGCTATGGTCCGCCCCCACCCCCTCCCCAGCCCTCATACTCCACAGTCCAATCTCAACTTCAGTTAGGTGGGAAAGAAGATCTTTGCTCTGATTGTACTCATTACTTCCGTAAATAATAGCAGACAACTGTCACAGATCTCTTGATATTTTAATCACCAGGTGAATAGCTGGTCAGGGACACAGAAAAGGCCAAGAGGCCAACTGGCAAAGCCATGCTGATAACATGTCTTCCCTGATGGGCAGCTTCTACCAGAGCCCGTGGGCGTCTCCCCAGCACTACGTCCAGAACCTGCCTGGTTACCTGGGTGACCAAGAGCCCAGGCAATCCCTCCCAGGCCGGACAAGCCAGCGCCGGATGAGCAGCCCTGCAGCCACAGGAGCATGGGGCTGGCCCCCCACAGGGTGGAACGGCAGTCACTAAGGCCAGCAGAGCACTTCCTCCATGAGTAAGGCTCAGCTGATGCTCCAGCAGGAGAGAGGATGGCTGTGCTGACCCCCCGGATCCTGGAACCTTATAACCCCGTCCAATTTCATGTCCTCTGTGTCTGTCAGGAGAGCCTGGGGACTTCGGGTATATTCCCAACAGCATTCCAGAGGCACAGGCTCCCTAGAAGTCAGGAGCTGTGAGATCCTCATGCCAGTGAAGCCACGGTCGTCATGAAGGTGGTATTTTTCAACCATCAAGAAGAACAGGAAACCTAACGGCACCCGGCTCCAAACCTCACCCTGCCCGAGTGTTGGAACCGCCCACTGTCAGGCAGGTACGGCGTGGAGCACACTCACCTCCTTGATCTGCTCCGAGGTGATAGGTTTGTTCTGGGTGTCGATGGCCCCTTCGGCCACAATGATGATGTTCAACCTTTTCTTCCGGGCACGGTTCTAGGAGATGGAAGAAGAAACCCTCTGATGCTTAAACCACTCTAAATGGGGGCCTCTGCCCAACTGACTGGGCTCTCCAGGGACACACAGTCACCCGGTTTCATCAGCAGCACTTCCTAAGGATATGAGCAGGTCCAGGCGCCCAGGGTGAACAGGCGGGACAGGCCTGCAAACACGGGAGGTCAAAAGCTCCCAGTGTCTCTGACCCGGACCCCTAGATGGTGATGAGCCCCGAGGCTGGGCTCCCAGGTCTTTCCTGCAGACGAGGCCTGCCGGCTACCCCAGAAGACAGAGCTTCCTGTCATCTCCCTGGGAACCGGGCCCCAGCCTGGTCTTCACGAAGCAGAGAACCGCCCATGTCTCCAGGCCAGAAGCAAGGGACAGTGAGCTCACGGGTTACTTCAGTGCTCACGGTCACGCTGGGACCTGTGCAGCTGACTCCAGCCTCAAAGGGCTGATTCCTACCAGCTGTACATGCATGCGTGCTAAGCTGCTCAGTCGTATCCAACTCTGCGACCCCATGGGCTAGAGCCTGCCAGGCTCCTCTGTCCATGGGATTCTCCAGGCAAGAATTCTGAAGTAGGTAGCTTATCCCTCCTCCAGGGGATCGTCCCAGCCAATACTATAATTCAAGAGCCAATGCAGACTTTAGAGTATTGCAAAAAATATATCTTCGGATTGTAGCCTCCCCTTCTGCAGGGGATCTTCCCCACCTAGGGATCAACTTCCCAGCCAAGGAATGGCTTTACCAAGTCTCTTACACAGGTTTTTGAGTCAAAGTGTATTGGATTAGTTGCTGGAAATGCACTCTCGGAACCCATCACCTTGAAGGCGAAGGCCATGTCTCATGGATCGTGGGTCCTGGTTGCATGCAGTGCTTATGTGCTTGCTGAATACAATGATAACTGGCCTCTGCCATAGGTTTCCATTTTTTGCCTACAGAACAGTAGTGAGATGGTCATGAAAATAAGAGGAGGGAAAGTCCACACATTGGGGTAGTTTCTATCCTGAAAGCCCCCTTGTTTTCTGCAACGCCTCACAGAGGAAATCTGTCTGACACCAGGGATGGGATACACATGTTGACAAGGACAGAACACGCATGTTGACAGTGATCCATGATGTGAGACGAGCACAGTCCACAGATAAAAGAAAGGAAAGGCCTGAGCCAAACCCACAGCAAGGCCAGCTCCCTCTGGGGAGCGAGCTGCCGGGGCCTGGCCTGCAGAGAGCTGGGGGACTTAACTCACAGGCCCTTTTTCTGAGGGGACAGCAGCACCGTTTTCCCCAGACCCTGGCTCTCATGTGGCTTCCTCCAAGGATGGCTGAGCGCCCACTTGGCATGAGTGGCTCAAAAGCTCAGCTGCTTCTCCTTCACCTGTCTCTGCCACAGCGGGAGGTGGGTGGACGGGACACCCCCAGGTCACAGCCACAAGCCCGAAGCCACTCTGAGCAGAGATCCTCCAAGGGCTGAAAGCTCCGTCGACACGGAACATGCCCACGGCCGCCACGCCGCAGGCCAGGCAGCGCAACCAGAGGCCGGCAGCCACAGGGGACAGAAGGCAAGTTACCTCTGAGAGCTTGATGCACATGTTTTCCTGCCAGCCTTCCTCCGGTGGGGACTCGGGAAGGAAGACCCAGTCGGCCCCGCAGGCCAGGGCGCTCACCAGGGCCAGGTACCTGCGGGCAGAGAGCGGGGATTTCACAAGGGGGTGGGGCCGGGCGCCCCTGCCCAGGAGAGCCCCACAGATGGTACATGCCCCTCCCAGGATGCTCACGCTGGGGTGTGGGGCTCCCCGGGGACCTCCCCACCCCGACTGCAACCGTGTGACCATACCCGCAGTGTCTCCCCATCACCTCCAGGACGAAAGTCCGCTGGTGGCTGGAGAGAGACAGAAAAGCGTCCACTTAGCACAGCCGGGCAGACAGCAGGGCCCCAGCTGTCCCCCTCAGACGACCCACTCTGAACACAAGCAAACACTATGGCGAGTGTGTTTCAGGCTCTTCTGAGTGAAGGGGCTGCAGCAGTGAGCGCCCTGGTTGTGTCCTCGTGCCAGGCACACTCACGCCACCAGGACATGCGTATATGCTCTTCCCAGGATGAGGGCTCCACTGGGCAGAGTCAGGCTTCTTCAGCCAGAACCACATCAGCTCGGGAGACGAGAGCAAGAGTCAGGTCTGCGCCCAGGACCACGGCCTTTCCATGAACAGGAAACTAACTGCCACCAGTAACCCTGGGACCCAAGCGGGGGTCAAGGTTTGTCTCCAGCCACGGTTCCCCCGGCGTGGCCCCGAGACGGTGGCAAGTGGCCGGTCCACGACAGAGGCACGTGTTCCACTGTCTCTCTCACTTGACTTTGGTGAAGGTGCTTTGGAAGCCTGAGGGAGCCAGGGAGGGTGTGATGGGAAAGGTTCAGCCCTGAGCCTACAACCCGGAATGTGGGGTCACTCCTTATCCATTGGCGGGAACCCCAGGTGAGGAAGGCGCAGGGCGGGGGCTCGCCCAGCTCTGACCAGGGCCGTGCAAACCCGGGGCTCTACGGTCCGCCACTCCTGCAGGGGAGCTTTGTGCAGGACTTGACGTAATGATGATTTATTTTTTTCATTTTTCTAAATTCTCTGCAATAAACGAGTTTCTTTTACAATCAGAAAGCAGTGACTCTTAAAATTGAAAGTAAAGAGTAAACCACGAAAACCACTGATGGCACCAATATAAAACTGTTTCTAATATCAAGCGACAAGGCTTGTGGAACTTTCCAGAGCTGGCACTGAGGTCTACACAGCCCCCTCCTGCTGGTCCCCACGTCCCCCACCTCTGGGCGGTCGTCATGATGGCGTCCACCACCTCGATGATGCGGTGTAGGGCTGAGTCCGTGCCGATGGTCATGTCGGTGCCGCAGAAATCGTTGTCGATGGAGCCCACCATCCCCACCACGTTGAGGTGCCCGTGCTTCTGCACCTGCTCTGTGGTGATCTTGCCTGTGTGGGGACAAGCCGCAGGCCCGGGATGACTCGGGGAAGTGCGTGCTCCTACACGCATCTCCTACCCACCGCGTCAAGTCCACGGGACCTAACCCTGCGTGCTGACAGACGTAAAAGCCAGATGGAGGTGGAGGGACACAGCGGGGAGCAGTCTCCTGACACACAGACAGGAGCACCAACCCAGGAACAGAAGCTGGAGGAGGGAAGAAGCACACACAGAGACGGGTGGAAAAGATGCGACTTCTGTCTGACGTCTGTCTGAATATGGCGGGTCACCATGCCAGAAGCCCGTCCTCAAGGATATGGTACAACTGGTACCCTGACTCCTGACAGGCCTGTGGGGCCCCATTATTTGGTAGATGTACTTGGCGCTCTCAGGAAAGACCACCAGGGTTGGTAGAGCTGCTTAAATGGCACCACAAAGGTCAAGGTCAAGGTCAAGGCAGGGGCAGCGATGCTCCCCCCACCCAAGTCACCTCCAGGCCCACCTGCCTCACAGCAGACATGGTGCAGAAGCATCACAAGGCCCTTGGTGCCGGCCTGAGAGCCACCCTCCATTCCCCAGACAGACTTCACGGAACATGTGGGTTGTCACTTTAGTTCAAGCTTACACCTTTCACAAGGTTGCTATTATTTACTTCAGTTGGCTTCCTCTGGTCGTATTTTAAATTAAATTGGAATTATATAAAAACACATTTAAAAGATAAAAATCACAAGATATACAGCATTCTCGAAAATCCTTTCCTACACAGCTTCAGAAGCGATAAAGGACCAAGTCTTGTACCACCGGCTGGAGGGACACCAAGGGAGCTGGCGGGGGCAGCTGCAGGCATGTGTCGGCTGGTGTGAGCGGGGCCACACTCATGGCCAGGTGGCTCCACCTTGAGCCCCTGACCCTCCTCTCTAAAGTGGGGATTGGCACAGAAGCTCTGGATGGATGGTTGTCCCAAGCGGGCACAAAACCACCAGGGTCAAAGTGGAGCCATGCCTGGCACGTAGGATGTTGGAGTAAACGTTATTCTTATAATCACTTTTGTTATTATCTGAGCCACAAATCTGAGTCCTGAGGTGGCGGCCTTGAGGTCTGCAGCACCGCCAGCAACAAACACCTGTGGTGTTCATGGGGCAGGATATCAGTGGTGGGAGTGCTCTGACGGGGAGGGGTGGGCAGCAGAGACTCACCGTCTCGGGCCAGCTCTCCCAGCAGCCCGCTCCACTCTGTCTGGAAGATGTGGGCCCCGGTGAGGCTGCCATCCCCGCCAATCACACACAGGCTGGTGATGCCCAGCTGAACCAAGTTACACGCGGCCTTCAGGCGGCCTTCCCGAGAACGGAAGTCCTGGCAGCGGGCACTGCCGATGATGGTCCCTCCCTGGAAGAGAAAAAACACCTGTTTATCTGTCTCTTCCCAACTGCACAGACCCCTGAACACGTGCGTGCTGGGTATAAACACAGGACTTGGCGTAGATTTCCCACCGTTCGTCTTTTCAGTTGATCAACCATGGAAATTTGGAGTCTCTCCATTTTTAGCTCCGAACTGGAATTCAATGGCTAAAGACGCAGGCCCACTCCCACGGCGGACACAGTAGGGCAGGAAAACAAGGACACAGCCATCAGCTAAACGCATGGAGCAGAGAGAAGTCCACAAGAGGATGACGGCCATCCCGTGGGGAGGGGGACCCCGCACACTCTCTGAGCCTAAGGCGGGCCAAGGCCAGTCACAAGCCACGGCCAGAGAAACCCCGTGCCCAGCAGCCCCAGGTAACATGGCTCCCCTCCTTAGTCGGGCTCACCACAAGTGCCAGCGAAACAGAAATCTGAGTTCTGGCCATTCCCCACAGGAGCAACCAGAAAATTACTGCTTAGGGACACAATATCCAGAAGAAAGGACTGCTTGGCTCTAAATAATACCTGCCCTCAAAAAATCCAGGGGTAACTTATCAAAAATAATTAAAAACAGGGCAAACTGTCAAAAAAAATATGAGCTACATACAGTTTACAATGTTAAAGCACATGAGGAATGGCTCAATATGGCAAATTATCAGAGATGAGAAGATAAAAATGACAATGAGGTATCAGCTCAGAGAAATGGAAAAGGACACTATCAAAAATCCACAGAAGTACACTGTGGGGGAAAGAACAGCGGACCCTTTAATGATGCTGGTGGATGTAGCTGGTGCCAGCAATATGGAAGTGCATTTAGAAGGCATTAATATAAACAAACAGCTACCCTGTGATCTGGCTGTTCCACTCATAAGAGCATATGAGGAGAAAACCAGACTCGGGAGAAAACCATGCACCCAGGCAGGCACGGCAGCAGCTTTACAACAGCAAAGACATGGGAGTAAATAAACTGTGCCCAGATGAATGGATAAAAGCAAGTGATATATGTACACAATGGAATATGACTCAGCCATGAAAAAGAACAAAAGCATGCCATTTGCAGGAGGATGTACAGTTTCAGGATAATCATACTAAGTGAAGTAAGAATCAGAAAGACAAAACTCCAAGATACCCCGACCTAGTGGAATCTAAAAATGGTGACAAATGAACTCCTTCAGAAAGCAGAACCAGCCTCACAGACTTAGAAACCTATGGTTATCAAGAGGGAATGGTGGTGGGCAGGGAGAAACTAGCAGGTTGAGGTTATTTGATAAATAATGGTGTGTATATATTAATTAAAAAAACCCAACTAGATAGCGCAGGAACCCTAAACAACACTCAGTAATAACTGATATGGGAAGAGAACCAGAAAAACATATATATATATGACTAAGTGCAAGTGAATCAAGTGGTTGTACACCTAAAAAACAAAACCACACAACATGGTAAATCACCTATATACTCCCATTCAAAACAAACAGTAAAAGAAGAAAGAAATGCTGGCTCTGTCCCCCTTGGGCCTTGGTGACCCGGGCTAGGGTCACACCCCTGGAGCTGGAACACTTGGGTCCCCAGGCCAGACCGTCCTGGGCCGAGGGAGCAGGAGGACGTGCCGGCCCACGAGCCCTCCCTGATGGACCCTCTGCACGAGCCACAGTCTTGGATGTGGAGGGCGGTCCCTCCTGCAGAGTCCAGGCCTCCTGCCCCGACAGGAAGGGGCGGCCTCAGGGCTGCAGGAGCTCTGGACAGTCACCTGGGCTCCATGGCTCTGCTGGTGGGGTTCCCACCTCCAGCCTCCTTCCTGAGGGCCCCCTCACCCACGGATGACAGCACCCTCCCCAGACTGCGGCTGCAGGAATGCGGAGGTGTTCAGGGGACAAAGGGTAAGGGGGAGAAGTCAGGAGACAGGAGCCCTGGGTGTTTCCTCTGACACATCCACTCTAAGGGACGACCAGGAACAGGACTTTCCCTAAGGTCCGCTTCCTGAGAAACCAGAGCTGGGCATGGAGAAATGCTGCCACCTTGTGACCGCTGTTTGTAACAACACCTTCAAAATAGGCGTTGCTGGAGTCTTCATGTTCAAGAGTCATCGGGGCTGGAAATGAGACCTTTGCTTAATATATTTCCTGGAGAAAATCATCAGAAAAGATCACAACAGGGCCAACTTCCAATAAGCCAATAAGCTGTTGCTGCTAAATCGCTTCAGTTGTGTCCGACTCTGTGAGACCCCATAGATGGTAGCCCACCAGGCTCCCCCGTCCCTGGGATTCTCCAGGGAAGAACACTGGAGTGGGTTGCCATTTCCTTCTCCTGGAGAAGGAGAAGAAAGCCAGTGATACTTACCCAAATAAAAAGAGCATGGTAAGATACTCCACATCACTGATTATTAGAGAAATGCAAATGAAAACTACTGAGGTACCATTCACACCTTTCAGGACTGCCATCATCAAAAAGATCTACAGAGAATAAGTGTTGCAGAGGGCCTGGGGGATGGGGGTCTGCCTACACTCTTGGTGGGATGTAAGCAGGTGCAGCCACTATGGAGAGCATTGTGGACATTCCTGAAGAAATGAGAAACAGAGTTCCCGTGTGATATGGCAATCCCACACCTAGGTGTATTTGGGGAAAAAACAATAATTCACAAAGAGACACACACCTGATTTTCATTGCGGCAACCTAAATGTCCATCTACAGAGGAATGGATAAAGATGTGGTACATAAATACAATGGAATATAGTCAGCCATAAGAAGCAATGAAATAATGTGATTTGCAGACAAGTGGATGGACCGAGAGATTGTATTACAGGGTGAGGTCAGGAAGAGAAAAACACATACAGTATTGCTTATACAAGGAATCTAGAAAAATGATACAGATGAACTTATTTGCAAGGCAGAAATAGTAAGAGGTGTGGTAAACAAACATGATTATGGTGAGGGAGAGGGAGATCAACTGGGAGACTGGGATTGACCCATATACACTACTGATACCATGTTTAAAATAACTGCTAAGAACCTCCCGTATAACACAGAGAACTCTACTCAGGTGGCCTGAATGGGAAGGAAACCCAAAAAAGAGGGCGTCCATGCATACATATTGTAACTGATTCACTTTGCACAGCAGAAACACAACACTGTAGAACAAATGTATGCCAATAACAATTCTAAAAAACTCAAGACAAGTCACAGATTAATATTAACACATACATTTCAAAAGATCAAACCGCAAGTAAAACACTTTTCATGAAGTCCATTCTTTCCACGTAATCTCTTTATTTCTTAATTGACTTGGAGCCTTCACTGAGCTGCATTGTTCCTGGAATTTATTGGGCATGACATATTCGGGCAGGCTTCTTTTCAATTCTATGTAAGAGCTGTTTCGCCTGCAGTTGTAATTACCTCATCGTTGCACATGCCAAGGAAGTCAGCCCTGAGTCAGGGGAGATGCTATATCCCCGCTAAAGCCACAGCCCTCGGAGGCTGCTGGTCAGGGGCCTTCCCAGGCCACAGTCACTGATGCCAAATGGTGCCCCAAACCCAACAGGCAAAGAGACGCACCAACAAACTGCCTCAACACTGATCTGCTCTAAAAAAGAAAAGATCCCCCACAAGTACCACTAGCCATCAAACACAACTTGTTCTTGCAAGAATAATTCCTCAGTGTGCAAAGCTTTTTTTAAAAAAAATTAAATGGAAAATTAAGAATGTATTCTTTCCATGATGCCAGGCAGCACATTCACCTGTTTTAGGTGCTCCTGGAACACAAGCAGGAAAGATTTCAGACCAGAGAGAACTCAAAGAACCGAGCCAGACAAGCGCAGCACGTACCACTTGCAGGATGCTGGAGACGCTCTCCCAGTCGGCTTCCACAATGTTGCTGCCGCCATCCACCATGCCCTGGTAGCCCTGAGGAGGGAAGGACAGCATTACGACCAGGTTCAACCGAGTTGATACATTAACTGACCCATGTGTGATGTAAAACAGAAACTCCAGAGACAATGGAGCCGAATTTCTAGGAGCCCGAAGCTCAGGAGCCAGCGTGACACAAGTTATAGGGATGGTGCTAATGCTCTTCCCAGGCTCAGAACTGTGAGAGAGCCCCTCAAATGTCATCTCCAGTAACGAGAATGTCTGCCCAGACTAATCCAGGGTGCTGCAGAGACAGAAGCATTTTGCCTGTGGTCCACTGGCTCCCGAGAGATTGAAAAGGGATGGAATGACCCCAATACCATTGGTGATTCCACACAAACTTGCTGAGAACAGTGGTGTCAACCACACCAAGTACAGGAACACATCCACTCGGTAACCTGTGAGGGCCTCCCATCCGCCGGGTGACCCGCAACTCTCCAGGCACAAACAGGGTCTGAAGGCATAGCTGATGCCACCCACCCCCATCCACCTCACCTTGGGGCTGGTGCCAGCTCACGACCCCGAGCAAGACCCTGAGCAGGTCTGGACAGCCATGAACATTTAGCCGGAAGACCAGAGACAGTGACCTTTCAACTCTAAACGCAGCCCATTTTCCCCACAGAATATATAAGATAAACAGTGACGGAAATGTTCACTTGCATCTCTGTCTACGTGACTCACTCTGCAGGGCATTTTACCCCTGAAAAGATAAAGGTATTGGCTGTTTAGGAAAGTTTATAACAATTATTGTTGTGGATTTCTATCCCCTGGAGAAGGGAATGGCAATCCACTCCAATATTTGTGCCTGGAGAATTCCATGGACAGAGGAGCCTGTGGGCCACAGTCCATGGGGTTGCAAAGAGTTGGACACGACTGAGCGACTAACACTTTCATTTCATTAGAGACAGTATAATTACATACATTATATACAGCACATTATATATCAATATTGTACATAAATACATATACACCTGCACGTATGTGTCTAGTCTAGGGTTACACACGTGACGATGCTTCCTCAGCCTCAGGACAGGCTGGGACAGGGGTACCCACAGCCCTGCCTTCACGCTGAAGAAGTGGCATTTACTCCAGACACATCTCGGGTCAACTCCAAGGATCACTTTTATCTTTTTGTCCCTATCTCCCTTCTTTCTTTCTGGAAACCACAGAGGGTGCACATTTTTAGCCTGCTCCATTGAAAGCCCTGAGCCCAGTGCGGCTGTCACCCTGGAAGGCGAGGGTGATAAGCTTGAGTGTGATGCGATCCAGGCCTCCTCGAGGAGAGGGAGTGCTTATCAGAGGTGCTATTTCAGTTGTATCCTGGTATGTCAGCTACCTGAGGCAGGCGCTGGCCTGCAGGGCACCCTGCTGCTCCAGGGATGGATGAAAAACCAGGCCCTCTCCCCTTCTAAGGGACTCCAGGGAGCTTGTTTCCACAGAATATTAAAAACAGAGGACAGACTGGCAGCTAGCAGATGGTGGACAGATCATAGACAGCAGGTGATGGGAGAGTTAGGTAGGAGGTTATTGATATGTGATGGATGAGAGAGGTCGGTAAAAGGCTATGGTTTGGTTTTTCCAGTAGTCATGTACGGATGTGAGAGCTGGACCATAAAGAAGGCTGAGCACCGAAGAACTGATGCTTTCTAACTGTGGTGCTGGAGAAGACTCTTGAGAGTCCCTTGGACTGCAAGGAGATCTAACCAGTCAATCCTAAAGGAAATCAGTCCTGAATATTCATTGGAAGGACTGATGCTGAAGCTGAAGCTCCAACACTTTGGTGGTGTACTGCTGAAAACTGCCCTGTTGGGAGCTGATGATTTCTGAGAATTTAAATATGGATTTAATTTTTAAAAAAATCTGCAAATCCTTCTGCTCCTAGAGTAAGAACATGGAAAACTGTTCTACAGACCATAACACTTATTCTGAGACGTAAGATGTTCTCCAGAAAGGGTTTGGTTATTTTGTGCAGCCTAGATACACACAATAAAGAAAGTGACTAAGGAATAGGGGATGAGCTTGCCAGTGCTGCTCTCCAAACCTCTCATTGCGCCCATGGGCTGGGCCATAGGAAGTGACTCACCCTGTTAACTGCAAACTTGTTAGGCCCGTGGAACATCTGAAGAAGAACTACCTAATGTGGTTTTAAATTGTCCTTTGCTAACATGGAAGATGTTACTGAGACAGAAAGACTAGTTTTACACAGATGTTACTGTAATTTATCAGTTCTGATGAGCTTTTTCAAGTCTCCTTACAAGGTTGAATACTTATTCCAACGTAACAAAAGCCCAAAATATTGTCTAAAATTCTCTTTTGGAATCTGCCTTTCTGAGCCAGTTCTATGACTCACATAAGAAAAACAAACCATAAAACCTTTGAAGCTCGCTTAGTTTTGGACCAAAAGCAACACCATATCGCTGGTGCTGGTCATGATGACCCAGGAGACCCTCAGCTGTCTGATCCAGTCCAACACCAGTCATGTCCGAGGCTCTGAAGCCACCTTAACTCCCTGTCAGATCAGTTTGAACAAAACAGGCACAGTCTCCCAGCTGGTTATGGAGGAGATGGTGCCACACATAGGGGTATTTTTAAGCATCTGTTAAATCTGTTCTAATAGTGCAAGAGCTGATCACCTGGGTGGTTTTCTCTTAAATCTCATGAGTGCTGTTTAAAGACCCAGAGCGAAATTCCAATCTTGGGTTATGACAAAGTTGGCTTTTAAAAAAATTATTTTTTGGTCATGCCTGTATGCTTGCCAGGTTTTGGTTCTCTGACCAGGGCTTGAACCTGTGTCCCCTGCAGTGGAAGTGAGAGTCCTACCCACTGGACTGCTAGGGAAGTCCCTAAAAATGTATTTTTAATTTATCTTATTTTCTGGAAGGTATAATTTCTTTGGTGTGGGAATGGTATCACTTGTGTTTGCATAAGCCCAGACTCAAATTTTAGACATTTACTATATAGAGTCCTTTGTGTATCAATTGCACCTTAATAAAACTTAAAAAGAAAAAGATATTTGCAATAATTATACAAATTGAAGACAAAGATGAAAGTGAAGGAAAGTTACTGGTATTTTAACTCTACCTGGTGGCAATTTGGCCTTCATTTTTCTGACTACTCTTAAAGAGAAGACATCTAATAGTCTCTTCTACTTATAGTCCACTGAATTAGCTGACTTCTTTTATACAGAAGATTAGAGACCAATTCTGCAATGAAGCCAGGTAAGATGCTCTGCTCCGTTCAGGCTAGGCTGTTTCTTTTCTAAAATAAAAGTGTCGCATGGGTCCTCATGTCTTCTCAACTTGGCAGTGCTTTTCCTAAATCCTGGATTCTTTGGGGAGCAACACGGTTTGAATGGCAAGCCTTTCAAGGACCAGAGGAAACAACTGCTAAAAAGCTTACCGGTCTTCAGAAGTATTTCCTAGATACTGTAACCACATACATTCAGAGGCTTCTCCAGGGGTCCCAAGCAAACACGCATGTTTGTTTCCCACAGAATAAAGTTTTCCCAAGTCAATTCATCGTTAATAAAGCTTCTCGTGTATTGCATTTGAGAGCCAGCACACAGGTCGGCTCTGAACTGCTCAAGGGCCAGCAAGTCCATGGTGCTGGACCAGCTGTGGGTACCAGAGAGGCAGGTGGGGACAGCTCTCCACGTGGACGGCTTTCGAGGTGTAGGAACGATGGTTCTATTCATCCACAGGAGAGTCAGTGCCGAACCTGAGACCACACACTCCCCACACCCAGGCCCAGGGCCTGCAAGGCCCCACCAGGTCCTAAAGGCACGGACACTCCAGTCCAGAGGACCAGCCGTCACTCCTGCTTGCTGACTTCATGGCTTCAGGGAAAACGCCCTTGGCTTTGTCCTCAGTGAGATGTGATCAACTCCAAAATTCTCAGCAGCTTGGAACACGACAGTCACGGCACAGCCCTGCACTTTGTGCTTTGAAACCCGATAATAAACCAACGTGATTTATTGAGCCCTCTGGCGTTATTAGATTTCTAAGCCAAAGCTCATAATACACAGTTCCTGGTAAACCAAAAGTCATAGCAAGATAAAGCCAGCCTTCTTAGCTCAGTGACTTATGTGATTAATTAGTGATATCAGCGGGTGGGGCGGAGGCAGGGGGAGACATGATCATTTTTGCAACTTGAGCACCAAAATGAGAGTTAGCCCTCGATGGTCTGAGGCCGTGGGAGTGATGCCGACAGCGTGGGGGTCAAGCCAGGTCACACACGAAGGATTCTGCTCGAGCCTGGCGGGGAGCAGCATGTGGTTACAGAGGTGCCCCTCATGGCTCAGAAGAATCTGCCTGCCGATGCAGAACACTTGAGTTCAATCCCTGGATCGGGAAGATCCCCTGGAGGAGGGCATGGCTACCCACTCCAGTATTCTTGCCTGGAGAGTCCCATAGACAGAGGAGCCTGGTGGGCTACAGTCCATGGGGTCGCAAAGAGTCAGACACGACCGACCAACACTTTCATACTCAGGGCTGTGATGGGTCACTACTACAGGTGGGCACAAGTCAGCCTCCTGCCAAGAAGGTTTCCCACTGCGTCCCCCAGGTCACCGGCCTGCTGTGAATTAACTTAAGGAGCTGGACCGGTCGACCTGGCGTGGGGCACGTTGGCCAAAGGGCCAGGCGGCACTGCCTCCCTCTCAGCCACCCGGCAAAGCTTCTGCCTACCTCCCAGCACCACTGGGGCTGTTTTTAGTTAGTGGTTAAAGAGTTCTGTCTTTAAGGAAGTTAAAATGCAGAAACAGGAAGTGTAAAAATCTCAAGGAGATGCGACAATGGGACTCTGGTCATCTCCTGGGCCTTCACGGAACTGTTGAGGGGGCAGGCAGAGGCAGTGACCATGGGTGAGAGAAAAGGACCGGCGTGTCCCCAAAGCAGACCTAACCTGCTCTCTGTGCGGGCGGCGGCGTCACCATCTGCCGTGCCCACACGGCCTGGGGCCACAGGACACCCGCGCAGCCACCTGTGTCCCCCTCCCTC